TAATGAAAGTTTGTTTCAGTAAAATTCTGTAGTTAATCAGTAGTTATAGATTGGTAGAACTTGTCAATAAGGTTGAATATGGGTTGATATTGAAAGATAATGTTCAAAAACTTGTGTTGTGATAAAATTAAAATTTGTCATCGTATGGTTGAGCCAGCTACTGGTTCAGTAAAATTCTGTAGTTAATCAGTAGTTATAGTTTGGAAGAACTTGTCACTAAGATTGAATATGGGTTTATATTGAAAGATTATGTTTGAAAACTTGTGTTTTAATAAAATTAAAATTTGTCATCGTAATTAGAAGTAATCGAATAGAATGGCGTGAAAGATCATTTAACAAAATTGAAGCCATTGAACGTAAAGTGGGCTTCAAGTAGGAAATTATCGAAGCATATTTGAATAATTGATTATATATTGACTAAATAAATTATGACATTGGATTTGAAGGATAATAAAGTGTTCATATCCATCTTCTAAGTTTCTATAAGATATTGTTTCAGACTATTAGGTTAAGATGAGAGTAATCGAAATTTGATAAAATAGTTCAAAAAGAACAATGACGTATCAACTTTGATTTTAGTATGCTCGATGCTTAATTTTTGAGCGTATACCAAATTTCGAAAAATAATCTTTCGGATAATTAGGTTAAGATGAGATTTTTCCCGATTGGACAAAACAGTCCTCAAAGAACAATGAAGTAACTATTTTGTTTCCATTACGCTCAATTATTTATTTTCGAAACATACGCACATACTGCAGCCGTAGCTTCGAGTCAGTTTAGGGCGGCACAGTTCCCGTTTCATTGTTGAACTCGAGCGCAAATCTCGAGCCGAAGTGACGACCGGAGCCTGAACGTGCTTGGGTGGCTGGCGGTGGTAAACAATGCACGTGTGTTACAACACGTCGCACGTGGCAGCGCGTTACAACACGTCGCACGTGGCAGCGCGTTACAACACGTCACACGTGGCAGCGCGTTACAACACGTCTCGCGTTACAGCACGTCGCACGTGATGCGCGTGGCATCGCGTTACAGCACGTCGCACGTGATGCACGTGGCAGCGCCTTATGACATGTCGCACGTGATGCACGTGGCAGCGCGTTATGACACGTCGCACGTGATGCAATTATGTTACAACACGTCGCACGTGATGCACGTGGCATCGCGTTACAGCACGTCACACGTGATGCACGTGGCAGCGCGTTACACCACGTCGCACGTGATGCACGTGGCACGTGAACGTATCTCTGCAACGTGGGCTCGAACGGCATACGTTGATCAAGCTACCGGCGTAAATGCAGCGTCGTCAGCAGTCGCCAGGTAACAAATTTTTTGCTAGTTATTCATTAATCGAAAAATGTTAGTAAATGAATGTGCGATGCGGATTGCAGATCAATGATTTTTTTTTGGAATATCATACCAGTGAAGTTAAAAAATTAATCAAATTGTAAAATATTAGTTTTTTCCTTGAACAAAAGAATCTTTGAATATCCGAAGCCCTTTATAACGGATATTTTTCTTCCGTTTTTCTTATTTCGAAAAATGTCGTAAGTTTTTAATCAAACATCTGTGATGCAAACTTAAATAGAACCAAAACATCCATAACATCTAAAATAAATAGTTAAGCTTCATTTCCATCAATCATCTTTCGCTCGCTTTAATTCGAGGACAGCAACGCAAAGAAATTATAATAGATCGTTGGAACTGTCTAGTTTCTGTTGAAGCTCCTCAGAGACGTGTTGCATTCATACATCGGTCTACAGCATGAACTTCTCTGCAGTAGCGTGTACGCAACCAAATCAGCGGGCGCTGTGAACGCACCTTACGCACTGTAAGCACCGTACGCACCGTACACACCGCACGCGCCGTACGCACCGCACGCACCATACGCACCGTACGCACCGCACGCACCGTACGCACAGTACACACCTTCCAAACCATAAGTGCACCGTACGCACCTTTGTATTAGTCGCGCAACCATGGCGCAACACAGCCGCGCGTGCTCGCTGTAAACTCGTGTTCTGGAACACCAACCGCTACAAATGCCAGGCGATTTAATGAAGGCCTTTTCCTATCTGTGCATTGATACCTGGGCCAGTGAGCATCTACCGTGGTAAATGTCAGCGATATTGCAAGATTGCAGTTATCAGCGAATTGCCTTATGCGGCCAGCAAATGTTCGCTGAAAGCCGCGATACTTACACGTTTTTTTGCACGTGTTGGCACGAAACCCAGCAGATAGAAGATGAATCGGGAGATTATACTTGCGCTCTTTAGTTTGAAAAGGTTTCTGTGCGATTTTCTCTAAAATATTCAATTAAACTTTTATACCATCTATCACAATTATCACATTTTATATAATGTATAATGAACAAACAACGCCTTTAGAATGGTGAAGATGATCTAAGACCAGAGCAAGCCATAGGCCGCAAAATCTGGGAAAAAAATCAATTTTGCTTATAGAAATTGTCCAGTTATTGGCCAACGTGAATTTAAACTTCGGAGAGCAATGAGATAAACATTTCTACATTTCTATATGAAATCCTTTTGGTACAGTCAGACAATGTTCGACTTGAACGTACATTAGAACAAACATTCTGAAGAAACTCAATATTAATTAAAACAGGCATCCTAATGAGCAATATTTTTGGCCATTAAACTGCCGTGTAACGCTTTCCAGTTAAATTAAATACCAAAGATTCATTTACTTTATATTTCATTATCGTGACAATATAAGGGAAGTAAATTATGATAGAATTTGCCGACGATGGATGAAGTCAACCCAAGACAAGCCACGCAATCCAATCTGAAGGTTTAATATGATTCATCTAATTAGCTTCCCAGTCTTGAGAACAACACTTGCCTTTTAATTTCGCTTTACTATATTCCTTTATTGCCACATCGGAATTCATTGGAGGACAAATGTAGAGTGTTTAACACATGTGTTCACCATATTGAGAGCTGTGCATTCACTGTGTACTGGCATTCAGTCCACATAGAGAATCATGCATTCACTGTATACTGGCATGCAGTACACATCGAGTATCATGCATTCACTGTATACTGGCATGCAGTACACATCGAGTGTGATGCATTCACTGTGTACTGGCACGCAGTACACATCGAGTATCATGCATTCACTGTGTACTGGCACGCAGTACACATAGAGAATCATGCATTCACTGTGTACTGGCACGCAGTCCACATCGAGTGTCATGCATTCACTGTGTACAGGCATGCAGTACACATCGAGTATCATGCATTCACTGTATACTGACATGCACTACACATCGAGTATCATGCATTCACTGTGTAGTGGCACGCAGTACACATCGAGTATCATGCATTAATTCATTGCGTACTGGCACACAGTTCACTGAAAATTTTCATTTCCTGCACACCTGTTACTAACGCATGTTCAATAATCCAAGACTTTTTAATTGCAGACGTCCGAGATGCGGATGGAAAGAAAATACCTCTTGATTCGAGTAATTTATGGTGAAAAGATAGAACCTCTTGGTTCAAGTCCGTTATAATAGAAAGAAAGGACCGCTTGGTTCAAGTAATTCATAGTGAGAAGAAAAGTCCATTTGCTTTAACGTTATTCATGGTGGAAAGAAAATACCTCTCAGTTAAAGTCATTCGTGTTTTTCGTTTTCGTTTTTCTAACCGCAATTTTCGAACAGCGCCGAAAATAACAGAGTAGGTTGGCGTGCGTCTGATTTAATGGCTTCGGAAAGGTCCTCTTCAACTAACGGCAATTTTCGAAGTCATGTCGGCTCTTCAAAAAGTAAAAAGTTTGCTTTTTCAGTACAAGGAGCGTCTCATATTTATAGTTGAAGGCCACGAATTGCTTCTGAAACACCGGGGTAATGCCTTGACTTTTGAATGAAAAAACTTATGCCAATATGTTATTACAAGCGAAACTGCAGCTCCAGAAATTGTGAAGGCTAAAGTAATCATTTGTGAACCGAAGCAAGAATTGATAGACATAACTTTTATTGAACTTAATATTATTACCTGGTTATTATTCGTTGAGACATCCCATAGAAGAATGCAATAAAAATAAAGATTTAAATTTAAGTCGCTCATGAATAGCCTATTTCAAATCACTATGAAAATCATTAGCAGGTTTGGACGATTCCATTACGAGGAAAATTTTCGCAGTTCTTGGATTCTTCAATCAAATGAATAAAAATCTCAAGATTTAATAAATATAATATATGTCACTTTATAAATGGAAAAAATGCGAGTGCTTGCCCGTTGAAAACAATAATAATCTAGTGGACGCGTTTTCGGCTTATGCAACTTAGACACGTCGTTATGCTACCAGCATTGCAGAACCGTTATTTAAGAGGGTACCTGTGCGTGAAAAATGAAAAAAAGGTAACATGCAAAAATGACAGGCGGGTTGTCGGCTCTGCACGCGGTTAAACTTGCACAACTTCGCTTCTAAAAGCAGGTCAAAGACGCTCGCACTTAGCGATAAGCGGGCCATCGATTTTTAATTAGAAAAAGAACCTTGAAAAAACATTGAATGTTGCATGCGGCTCGTAGAAGTTAATGTTCTGTTGCTAACCTCTTAAATCGTTCAGATATTTCGCGAACAATTTTTTTTATTTGTTCTCTATAGATATCTATTGTATTGGGTGAAAGAAAAAATCCCAGAAAGAAGCGTGATTGAAATGTTTTATTTGTTATAAAACTGATAGAAGGTAGGTAAGTATTTTAATATTTTTTAGTAATACGTACGTTATTCCACTACTAAAAATATCCGGAGTATATTATATGAACCTAATTTTTTTAAAACTATGTTCGTTACGTTGTTTATCCATCAGTTTTTATATTATATCACATATCGTTTTGTAATGAATAAGTATCAGACTAGGTTGCCGTCATTATGGTTGTTACATAATTAAATGCATTATACATGCGATCATCAAAAGGCTCCATACATCGCTTTTATACTTTCCTTAGGCTAAGTATTTTGTGACATTAATCGAAATGTTATCGTCACTCCAAGCCACACCCGTCACTCCACACCCGTCACTCTACACCCGTCACTCCACACACGTCACTCCACACCCGTCACTCCACGCCCGTCACTCTACACCCGTCACTCCACACCCGTCACTCCACAACCGTGATTTCACACCCGTCACTCCACACCCGTCACTCAACACCCGTCACTCCACACCCGTCACTCCACACCCGTCACTCCACACCCGTCATTTCACAACCGTCACTCCACACCCGTCACTCCACACCCGTCACTCCACACCCGTCACTCCACACCCGTCACTCCACACCCGTCATTTCACAACCGTCACTCCACACCCGTCACTCCACACCCGTCACTCCACACCCGCCACTCCACGTAACCAACCGCCGCTCGTTACACAGCGTGGCGGTGATGCAAGAGCGGCGGCTATGGTCCCGGCGCGGTACCCTTATGTTGGTGAGTGTTTAAGCTTCGTAATGGCAAGACAACGCGCGATCAATAGAATTCTTCACGGTGAGTAATCTTTCGTTAGCCAAACACAATAGACTGACTTCATCTTAGGTAAGAAGAAGGCATCGCGTAATCCTTGCGTTCGTTGTCGAGGAATCAATGGCCGTGGCGGAGCGTTGGGATGCGGGATCGGCTATCGAAAATACAAAGATAGAAAAGGTGGAGACAAACACAGAGGAGGCTTCCAGCGTTGCCCAATGCAGGAAGCTGGTGGACGGTGGTCCGAGTCCGCAAACTTTGGATTCCAGCCTTTGTTGAATTTAAAATCGTTATTTGATAGATGGATTGTATGCGGAAAATCAATAATAAAATGCTGAAATAAGTCATATGAAACCGAATTATGGATTAATTGATAATGTATGGTTCAGACTAAATGCAAAAAATACAGGAAATCGGCATGTTATCTGGATAAAGATTTACCTTGAGGATAAATTTAAGGGACTCGCTTATATAAGACAACAAGGGAGGCCATCATGTAGAATTAAAATTTTATTCAAATTTCTAAATGACAGAATGAAATAGATTGGCAGGTTTTCCTTTTTATGGACATGACTTGTTCATTACTTCGTCATTTAAAATCTGTTTTTCTTTGATTAAAGTTGTGCAAATACATTTAGTTTTACCGTTTCTTCTATTTAACCGCAACAATACAGCAAAAAAATTTCCTTTATACATAAAAATTTCATTCACTCAAGGTTACATTGAACTAGTAATTACTAGGGACTTGGAAATATCAAAAAATTGTACAATTTTTAAATTTTATCATTCTTATAATACTCGCATACTGCATTATAATTGCGTTCAATTTAAAATAACGCTTCAAGTTAGTTTATTATGCATCAGAAAAGGTTCTGACCTTCACCTGGATACTTCATGTTCATGGTTGAGAATCCGGATCGATTGATTTTTAGGTTTTAAATGAAGCTATAATAATGAATGCTAAATAACTTGCTTATTATAATTTAACTACTCTCATAAACCCCTGTAATTATTAAATTCGATTACAAAAAGAAAAAACGGATTAAGTTACGGCCAGGAATAAAGATTTAAATTTAACAAAAAAAATCAAATTTATGTGTCCCATTTATAACTGAAATTGGTTATTTAATTAGAGTTGAAACAATACGTGGGACATATAGTTCCCACGGAGCATTTTCTGCCTTGTGAGTTCAAAAGAAATCTATACCCTGGTCCAAATTTCAACCACCTAAAAACTTTTCTTTATAAACAGGTAAAATATTGTATCATTAAAAAAATCAAAGATAAGTATTTGAACCTGAAATATTGGAAGAGAAAGACTTTTATTTGTACTTTAATAATTACTGTTATAGTGTGATAAAAATAAGCTGTTTAATTAATTAATTAAATTCTTCGCTTCTTGACTACAATGGTAGCCAAGTGTAGCTAACCAAGCTCCTCTGACGCAAGCCTCGCAGGAGTAAATCTCGGTTGATGTCTTGTACACTCAAAGAAATGAGCGAGACTTTGTCCAAATAGCTATGCTATTTTTCTCCTAGTGTGGATCATACTAATCCGGTTTGACCCTGGAAAAAATGTGTATCAGTGCTACGCCCGCTCTATATGTTTGTATTGAGAGTAAGGAAAACGTGACACTATTCGGACAATACGACCCATTCATTTTTATTAGTGAAGGCCTGATCTGCAACGTGTATGTTTTGTAAGTTCTTAATAAGCTGGTCTGTGTTACCGGGTAGTTTGTTTCTAACTGACAAGCGTACAAAAGTACATATACACGCGGAAAAATGAACGCGTCATATTAACCAAATGGTGACAATTTCTACACGTAGCACTGACCAAATTTTTGCCGGACCAAACTGTTTCATTAAGACCCACTGTTGTACAAAAACTATATCGCTTTTTGAACAAAGTCTCGCTCATATTTCCGAGTGTACGCAGTGGTGAAATGCATATCACAATCTCTATGAAGATATTCAATTGTGTGGCTAAACCGAAGACAATTGAGCAATCCTCCCAATCATAGAGGAAACAAAACAGCTTAATATACCAGCGCTCTAAATCACCAACCACCACTGCTAAATTTCCAACCAAACCAGTGAGAGAAACTAATTATACATTGTCGAAAAATCGATAAACTATTAAAGTTATGAGGGTCGATTTGGCCGAGAAAAAGACATTGTTCTAAGCGCAGCTAGTGTGTCAGTATTTAAACAATATGACTAATCCATTTTACGAGTGGCAAAGTACGTATACACACGATGCATGTGGTCGATGACGCAAGTAAATGAGATCGTACGCGTCAGATCACGCGCAGCAACCTAGTGATGTAATTGTGAACGGGGAACACGGGAGCTTTCCGCCGATAAATTATTTCCTCTACGTGTGATATTGCAACGATTGGCGATATGTAATCGTAGCAGCACGTATAGCGAGGTTTTCCATATAATTTCAGGCATCTGAAAGTGCGCACTGCGGATCTGGTTTAGGGGAGCTCTATAACCACAAGTTGCTATTCCGGTTTCACTTTCCCTTTCCTGCAAGCACCGAAATAAATACAAATATAAAGAGCTATTTTCTCAATCGTTTGAACTGATCAATTGAAGGTTAAACTTTCAGATATTTATATGTATAATACAGGTGCTCTAGAAGGCTATTGGCATCTCGATAGAATCTTTGTGCAAAAATTTTGTTTTTGACAAAGATGTGTTGATGTAGCGAACAATATAATTTATGCCAAGGAAACTGCTAATGCATTGATCTGATCTGAAGTCTGCATCGAGAAGGAGAGTTGAGAACAATCTAAACTTAATTATGAGTTGCTTAATTAATTAAAAGCACAACCAATTAGTTATTTAATTAAATGCGAATAAACCATAGATTCATAAACACATAAAATATTTTCGTCCAAAATGACTGACAATAGAGCTGAGCGTCACTGCATGTAGCATCGCATAAAAACATGTCCTATTCACTATGATATCTTGTGCTTGAATAATACAGGGCAAACACGCATATACATAAATAGGGATGATAATATTGGACAAACAGGCATTAATATGAGAGTTGAGTTTCGGTGCTTCACGAAAGTCAGTAATAAATATTCACGTTCAGACCATGAAATTTAAATCATAGATTTTCCAGGAATTTGCAATAAAATTGGTATTCAATTAAATGACTGAAATACTTTCTTATGTCTCAAATTTAATTATTAGATTGCAGTAAATAATCTAAATATGGCTCCACCCATTCAATTCAGAATCAAAGATTGTAAAGAATCTTTTATGCAGATTCTTTAGGTTCGTAAAATAAGACGCGGTTATGCTTATTTATATGTTTCTTTGAATCAATATAAAACAATTCCATGTGCAACAAAACAGAAAATATATTTAATAACTTTTTTTCATATTAGCAGTGAATTCGCCATCAAATAATAACTGATAATAAATTCTTACCAAATTACTGGGGGTTCGGGATAAACAACTCTCAGCTGACGGACAAATAAGTAAATTACTATACTGATGAAGCCGGCACAGGTAAACTCTTGCTTTGGATTGTCAACCAAGAAGGAATGAGCGTGGTTTCTTTTAACAAAGAGCTTGATTAAAGTTATAAAATAGCACAATACTTTCAATATGGCTACCTACTCCTATTTCGGAATGTAAAGCCAGGTTAGAGTTGCACAATATCAAATAATTTCAATACGTCTCCTTCCTTTGATTTGGTAATGTACAAGCTTGATAAGAGTTAAGCAAATTCACAATAATTTCACGATGGGTCCTTACTTCCATTTGGTATTGTACAAGCTTGATTAGAGTTATTCGTACAATATCACAATAATTTCATTATTGCTCCTTAGTTAAATTTGGTGTCCAAGCTTGATTTGAGTTATACAAATTCCCAATAAAAACTTCATTATGGCTCCTCGCTTCAATTTGGTAATGTACTAGCTTGATTAGTCTTACACAACCTTCCATAAAGCCGACTTGGGGGCGTTCAGGACCTTGTCAGAAAACCCGTTAACCTTAGGCCCTCAGACGACAAAACTCCTCAGTTGCGTAAGCCATCTTATCACTTCATGACCTTATCTGAAGCCTTCTTGCCACGCTGACCTACGCGAAAAAAAGACGGTGTTTAGTTCTGTGCCGTTAGAACCTGGAACTAAGCTCTCTTTGCTATAAATATTCTAGGTAAACAATGGTGGAACTATTGCTATACAATATAGTGCTCCTCTCACAACCTGGAACTGTGAGTGAATGTGAGCTGAAATTATTGTAGCCCCAAACATGAATTGCTGGTGCATTGAACTATACACAACCACTTATGCCGAACACTAGTAATCCCATGCAAACCTGTATCTTTAGTTGTTCTGTACATCCTGAACATTAACAGTTTCATGCAGCCTGGAATGTTGGTTTTCCTACACATCTTGAACAATAGCATCCATCTTGTAACTTTGGAACACGTCTAAAAAGAGTAGTATTGACCGGAAAAACTATAAGCACAACCTGATTTATAGGCGGAAAAGCATGAGGTAAATTTAGAATTTATAGAGACCAACACAAGTCGTGAACGGTGCAATGAAAAAATTTGGGTATAAAAGGCTTGTCTCGTTTACGAGTGGAAGAAAATTGGAAAATCTTCTCATACCTGACACATTCATTTTCTCTGCATTGTTGCACCAATAAAACATCGTTTTAATACTTTCACGGAAAAATTAACTGTAAACTAAAATCAACAAGTTCTTCTCGACCATTTGGAACCGCAAGTGATATAGATGACACGATATCTTCAACTTCTAACACCTACGTCACTATCGCTTCATTATATTCATCATTATATAATGCAATAACGTACCTGAGAAAAGTTTCCTGCTTTATCGAACCTTGCAAAGACATTACGGTATTCTTTAATAGGACTTACAAACGTCGTCATTATGGAAGACCTGAAACAAATGGCATTTCCAAAAC